GTTTCTAATTTTCTGGAAGAGGTCTCTTGTCCTTCCTATTCTGTTGTCTTCTTCCACTTCCATGCATTGCTTATTTAAAAATAGTTCCTTATCTCTTCTGGCTAACCTCTGGAATTGCGCATTTAACTGGGCATATCTCCCCTATCACTGTTTCCTTTTGCTTTCCTCCTTTCTTGGGCTACTTCCAGTGTCTCAGCAGACAACCATTTTGCCTTCTTGGTTTTCTTTTTCTTTGGAACGTACTTTGTTGCTGTCTCCTGAACAATGTTGCTGACTTCTGTCCATAGTTCTTCTGGGACTCTGTTTACTAAATCTAGTCCTTCAAATCTGTTCTTCATTTCCACTGTATATTCGCTAGGAATGTTAGTGAGATCATATCTAACTGGTCTGTGTATTTTCCCTGATCTCTTTAGTTTTATTCTAAATTGGGCAATAAGAAGTTCGTGATCTGAGCTACACTCAGCCCCAGGTCTTGTTTTCACCGACTGGATGGGATATTAGAGGCAAAGATGAAGTACTTTGGCCACATAATGAGAAGACAGGAAAGCTTGGAGAAGATAATGATGCTGGGGGAAATGGAAGGAAAAAGGAAGAGGGGCTGACCAAGGGCAAGATGGATGGATGGTATCCTTGAAGTGACTGGCTTGACTTTGAAGGAGCTGGGGGTGGCCACAGCCAACAGGGAGCTCTGGCATGGGCTGGTCTATGAGGTCACAAAGAGTCGGAAGCAACTGAATGAATAAAAAATAAGTAGGGAGTATTTGGCACCCCAAAGGTTTTGGGTTACACTTCTCTCATAATCTTTTACTGCTGACCATACTGACTTAGTCACTAGAGCCTCTGGGAGCTGAAAATGAAAATATTTGAAGGCCAAATGCATCATGTATAGTTACAGTACATGATTAAGCTGCTTAAATTGAAAATGTTTATGTAATTAACAAAACACGCAATTGCCTTATTTCAATTCCACTGGCTACCAGTCTGTTTCCAACTCAATTCGGACTGTTGTTTATGACCTGTAAAGCTCTATGTGGTTCAAGTTAAGGCTGCCAAGGACTGTATTCTTCCTTATAGATTTTGGTATCTTCAAGAAGGATCTATCCCTCTATTCCTCCACCTTCACAAAAATAATTAGATTTGCAAGGAACACTCCAAAAAGTTGTGATGCCTTCTCACCTGTGGAAATAGCATGCTAAGGGATGACTGGGAACAGTAATGAGGCAGAATTTTTGTCTGAATAAGGAATAAACATAGAAACATGAACATGGAAGAAAGCCTATTAATATGTTCAACGTAGATTTTTATGCACACAATCAGCTTCAGTAATGGAAAGCTCTTTATATGTACCTTGAATTTATACTTCAGACGGTTCAACTGCAGAACCCATTAGCTTGTACATCCCTTAAATATTAGTCCACTCCAGGACCTCAGGGGGGATGTTGCAGAATCGTGCCCCCTCATGCCTCCTAGAAGGCATTTGGAACAAATTAGGATTTTTCAGATTATGGAAGGCTCCATCTACACTGTCATATAGTACAGTTTCAAACTGCATTACCTGGCAGTGTAGATGGAGCCAGAGACAGAAGCCAAAAATCCTGTGGTTCAGTCCTAACTCTGTTCATTTGTGCTCCATTTACTGCATTTTGTGACAATCCCCAGGGCCTCATTTTATACACCCTACTGGTGTCACTCGGCTACCAGCATTTGCTATTTTATGTATATCATGTGGCAGTAAAACATGGCCATGAATAAAGCCTGGCAGCACCAGAGCTAAAACAGCCCCGTGCCAATCTCAGCAGTGTGTTTAGTAAGCCCACAAAGGATTCTGGAAATCCTTGGGATTAACATCTTCTCACAGCTATTATTGCAAGCAGTAAAGTAAATCCACAAGCTATAGCCTGACCATGTGCACCTAAAGCCCACATAAGGCAGCCACTGCATTGATTGAGTTCACGTCTTCTTAAGCTAGAACTGAAAGTGCTAAAAGCATGAAAGCTATCAGAGAAACAGTTGACACTGGGAAATAAAACGAATTCCAAATAAAATGTTAGGTCTCTATTGTGGATTCATGTGCAATATTCCATGATGGGAGCCTCATGATTCTAAGGACCACATCATATTGAGGTCCCTGATCTGTGGGAATCACCATAGATCGTGGCAAATCTGGCAGGGAGTGAGGAGAAATAGCTCAATATCATGTGATGTGATCCGGTGAGCTTCCTGCCTGAATAGAGGTCCAAGTGTCACAGGACAGGCACTTTTCCCCATCTGATGAAGTCCTTGATCCAGGCCTGGCCCTAACATTAGACAGAGTGGGGCAACTCTTTGTGGCAGCAGATGATGAACGTGGTAGGAATGCCTCCCTTCTAAGTCAGCCTTAGATACAATGGGGACATTATGCCATTTTCAGTAGTGAAATTGAACTGTTGATTCATATTCAAAGATTACTATGCAGGGAAAAGGATGACAAATTTCATCCATCTCTGTTTTAGACTAAGGACCTCATCACGCTTACCAATTTAACATGTGTTATAGTCCTAACACCAAAAAATATATCTATCTACAGAAAGAGAGAAGAATTTGCTAGCACTTTAGCTTCCATAGCTACTGCCTACAGAGTCCTGGGATTTGTAGTAATCCTAAGTGTGACAGACAAATGTGAGTGAAAGGAACTTTCTAATTTTCCAATAATCTTACCAAACCTCCCAACCCAAGATTTCATGAGGCAGAACCATGACTGTTAAAGTGCTGTCAAATTGCTGTAACAATGTAAATATATCTCATAGATCAGTGTTTCTCAACCTGTGGGTCAGGACACCTGCAGGGGTCATGAGGGGGTGTCAGAGGGATCACCAAAGACCATTCTGATGGTCTTAGGAACCCCTTTGGCAGAGAAGGCTAAAGATCTCTCCACCTGCCCTTCTCTTCCTTTTTGGTGTTGGTGAACTACAACTCCCAGAATTCAAAAACACCCCCCCCCCCATGCCATCAGTATTCAATGTTGGCAATGTTAATAGTGTGCCAAGTTTGGTGCAGATCCATTGTAGGCTGGGTTCAGAGGGCTCTTTGATTACAGGCTCATTATAAATTCCAGCAATTACAACTCCCAAATATCAAGGTCGATTTTTCCCAAACTCCACCATATTGGGCATATTGAGTATTCATACCAAGTTTGGTCCAGATCCATCATTATTTGAGTCCAGAGGGCTCACTGGATGTAGGTGAACTACAACTCCAAAATTCAAGATCATTGCCCACCAAATCCTTCCAGTACTTTCTGTTGATTATGGGAGTTCTGTGCGCCAAGTTTGGTTCAATTCCATTGTTGGTGTAGTTCAGAATGCTCTTCAATTGTAAGTGAACAATACATCCCAGCAACTACAACTCCCAAATGACCGAATCAGCCAAATTTGGATGTATCGAGTATTTTTGCCAAATTTGGTTCAGTGAATACATCCTGCATATCAGGTATTTATATTATGATTCATAACAGTAGCGAAATTACCATTATGAATTAGTAACAAAAATAATGGTATGGTTGGGGATCACCACAACATGAGGAACTGTATTAAGGGGTTGTGGCATTAGGAAGGTTGAGAACCACTGCTATAGTTGAACCATCAGGTGTGGTTTGAAGAAAACTAAAGGAAGATGTGGGGCTACTTTTATGCAAAGGGCATCAGCTGACGTCCATTTTGTGACTTTGTGCATTGTTTTCTCTCTTATTTGTGGCAGTAGAAAGTGAGGTGCTGCTTTGAGGGGCTGGCTCAAGATGCAAAATATATACCGTATATTCTGTTGTATAAGACTACTTTTTAACCCAAGAAAATCTTCTCAAAAGTCAGGGGTCGTCTTATACATGGGGGTCGTCTTATACACTGGAGTAGCCTTATGCATGGGAGTCATCTTATATACAGGAGTAGTCTTATACGCCGGGGGTCGTCTTATAGAGCGGGTGCTGAAACTTCCATTCCAGATTGGAGAATCTGTGGTTGCTGCATCTGGTGGGGGGAGCTCAAAACTGGCAGTGGCAGCATCCCTGCCGTATGCAGTGACTGTATGAAAGCATTAAGGGCGAAGCTGTACAAGTATGGTAAAAGAAAATCAGTTCATCAGGATTCGTGGACTTAATGCAGCCCCGATGGTGAGGTGAAGGGGCGCCTCACTGGGAAGGTGTAAGTGAAGGGCGGAGCAAGCTGCAGGCATCCGGGGCGCCCGGGGTATGGAAAAAAGAGATAGAGTGGCTCTGGGCCCAGAAAAACACAACTCTTTTACCTGTATGGCCCACCCCTGTATCCTATTAACGTACCTCCTTCTCTGCCTCTCAGATCTCGCTCCTGAAGACTGCAGTGACGCGGTGCAGGTACACATGTGTAAGATCTGAGAGGCAGAGAAGGAGGTACAGTAATAGGAAAATTAACGTATTGAAATCAAATCTGATTCTTTTTAAAAATTTATTTGGTGTGTGTTGGAAGAGCGGTAGTCTTACACGGCAAGTATATCCCAAACTATATTTTAACTGGAAAAGTTGGGATTCGTCTTATATGCCCATTCATCTTATATGCCGGAATATATGGTACATTTGTGGCTTTAATCATACTAAAAAGGCATTTAATCATTACCAGTGGATATGTCTTTTTTAAAAAAACAGAACAAAACATGCTGGAAAAAGTAGCCATACAACACTCAATGAGAACGAACATGTTCTTGATTCTCTGAATGTTGTTGGACTGCAGTGTATACAGCCCAAACCAGTGTATTGAGTGGTGAAGTATCAAGGGAGATGCAATCCAACAATGCCTGGAAGGTCACGTGTTCTCCATTGCTGCTTTAATAAGAGAAGCCAAGGATCTCTGCCAGAAGAAAGCATTTTGTGCAACTTTTGTCTCCTGCTTTCTTTCCCCCTGATAAAGATGAAAGAATTGACAAATCTTCATTGTTTCATATCGGAAAGGCTTTTCTGCCAAGCATTCTAACCTGGTGTTTGTATTCCTTTCCAGGGATATATAGAGGGCATTGTTTTCGGATCAACCACTTTCCTGAAGACAATGACTACGACCATGATAGCTCAGAATATCTTCTCCGTAAGTAAAACCATCAGATACATCCTTAAGCAAGTATTGGAGGCAGAGGCGGGAATTGCTTATTATTTATCTCTTTTTGGAATGAATCCGTTGGATGTGACGCTTGGATTTAACAACCTCGTTGATTCTCTTTATTTTAAATAAATAAAAATGTAATATTCATTTGTGGGATTAACGTAACTTAAAAACCACTGATCCAATTGACACCAAACTTGGACACAATACACCTATCAGACCAACGAGTGACCATCACTCATAAAAGCACTGAAAAACATAGCAGAAGAGACTTTAAAAGCCAAAAAATAAAAATTAATTATAACTTATGTGCAAAACCACATATTATTATTTATTTATTTATTTATGGCATTTATATGCCGCCCTTCTCAGAGCGGCTTACAAGTAAAAAGTAAATACAATATATTATATTATTACAATAGCACAATATTAATATTATATATTACATTGTATTATAATGTACTGTAATATTATTAGTAACTAGCCGTACCCTGCCATGCGTTGCTGTGGCCCACATGGGGGTTCTGTGTTGGAGGTTCGGCCCAATTCTATAGTTGGTGGGGTTCAGAATGCTCTGTGATTGTAGGTGAACTATAAATCCCAGCAACTACAACTCCCAAATGTCAAGATTCTATTTCCCCCAAACTCCACCAGTGTTCACATTTGGGCATATTGAGTATTCGTGTAGAGTTTGGTCCAGATCCATCATTGTTTGAGTCCACAGTGATCTCTGGATGTAGGTGAACTACAACTCCAAAACTAAAGGACACTGCCTACCAAACCCTTCCAGTATTTTCTGTTGGTCATAGGAGAACTGTGTGCCAAGTTTGGTTCAATTCCATCGTTGGTGGGGTTCAGAATGCTCTTTGATTGTAGGTGAACTATAAATTCCAGCAACTACAACTCCCAAATGACAAAATCAATTCTTTTTGAGTGAAGGACATACATTGGGTTGTTAGGTGTCTTGTGTCCAAATTTGGTGTCAATTTATCCAGTGGTTTTTTAGTTCTGTTAATCCCACAAACATTTTTATTTATATAGTTATTACATTTAATATAAATTATATTTTTATAATATATTAGTAGTAGTAGTATATTGTATGACATTATAATATTATCAATATTATATGTATATGCAATATATTGTATTGTATTGTATTGTATTGTATTGTATTGTATTGTATTGTATTGTATTGTATTATATTATAAGCACAGTGCAAGAGACAAGATGGAACTGCCTTCCTGGCCCCTCTCTTCATTCTGATCTCAGAGAAGCAGTTGGTGTTGGAGGGGAGGGGGGCTCCCAACTGATGACACTGGAGGCAACATATACACAAATATATACACAAACAAAATACATATACACAGACTGGGCCACAGCAGTATGTGGCAGGGGATGGCTAGTACTAGATAAATTGCCCCTGGTGGCCCAATGGGTTAAACCCTTGTGCCAGCAGGACTAAAGACTGACAGCCAGATGTCTGAATCCAGGGAGAGTGCGGATGAGCTCCCTCTGTCAGCTCCAGCTTCCCATGCGGGAACATGAGAAAAGCCTCCTACAAGGATGGTAAAATATCTGGGTGTCCCTTGGGCAATGTCCAATTGCAGATGTCCAATTGCAGATGGCCAAGTGCAGATGGCCAATTCTCTCACATCAGAAGCAACTTGCATTTTCTCAAGTTGTTCCTGACATGGAAAAAAAAATCTAATACTCAAAATCTGGATCCAGCAGGCTTTGAGATTCTAATTTAGACTTCAAAATTCCAACAATCTGAATTGGTCCTGAAAATACATAAAAGGGTAAATTAAAAGTTTTGGAATTTTCATCCTTTCATGGGAGTTCATTCAAACATTTATACCAGTGGAGAATAAAAAACAAAACTGGAAGGTGGCTTTTTGTAGGTTTTTTCGGGCTATATGGCCATGTTCTAGAGGCATTCTCTCCTGACGTTTTGCCTGCATCTATGACAAGCATCCTCAGAGGTATCCTCACTACCTCTGAGGATGCTTGCCATAGACGCAGGTGAAACGTCAGGAAAGAATGCCTCTAGAACATGGCCATATAGCCCGAAAAAACCTACAACAACCCAGTGATTCCGGCCATGAAAGCCTTTAACAATACATCAAAACTGGAAGATGTTCAGGGTAACTCTAATTTGAATATTAAATTTGGGACAATTACAGATATGTCATCTGGCTTATAAAGGCCAATAACCCATCCCATCTTCTTTACGTGCTTGGAATTATGTGATTGGTTGCCTTATCTCTCATCCTTTACATGTAACTCACGAGAGCACAATGTTAATTAACAGTATTGTGTTTTATTGAAAATACACATTTCCATGGTAGAAACTGTATTCTGTCTTGATACAGGTCTTATGAATATTTCAGCACTGTATGCAGGCAATGGCATGAACACAATAACATGCTGTGTCACAATATTGAGGATATTGTACTGATGAAACATAGTACAGAGATTAGCAACCAGTTCCGCCTTAAGCCATGTTATGAATGCTTAAAAACAGAACCACGTGCCTTTCTCGTGCTCTCAACCCTTCAGGATTCAAGATTAAGGGGTAGAGGAAAATGTAATTTAAGTGGGATGAAGAAGAGAATAGATTCTCTTGCCTCTGGACACAGTGATAAGCCTTACACATCCCACTCAACAATGACAGTGAGAACTATGGAATCTGCCTGCCGTTTATTCACAATTGAATGTGAGGCAGAAAACAACATTTATAAAATTAGACTTTCCATGACTCCGATATCCCATTCCCAAGCAATGAGTTCCAATTGCCAATGGATAATAGTGCTCATTTTTCACGCATTGAGACTGCAGTCAGATAGATATTAGGTTAGCATAGAGTAGTTGGGGCTTTCATGTCAACACAAGGGGGGGGGGGGACTGAAAAATCAAATTATCAAATTCTGATTACACCATATGATAATATCTCTCTCTAACAAAGAGGTAAATAAATATCCCACTACAGTCAGTGAGAAGAACTGGATGTTACACTCAGCACAAGGCGGCTGCTCAAAATCAAAATCTTGTATAGTGTTGTCCACATATCATTTTAGCATCCCCATATTGTGTTGTTGAAGGATTTCATGGCCAGAATCACTGGGTTGCAGCGAGTTTTCTGGGCTGTATGGCCATGTTCCAGAAGCATTCTGTGCTAGTACGGCTGTACCAAAAGCTCCAACTTCCTTTTCTTTCTTCGAGTGTTTGCATGTATTCCAAAGTTCCATGCATTTTGCAATAAGGTGGCTTCCCTTGGTTTGCAATTATAGGGCCAATGACCCATCAATCATTGTTAAGTTTTGGTTCCGCCCCTTTCCCCAGGGCTCTGGGAGGAGAGGGAGCCATTTTAGGTCAGTCTTGCATTGGAAAGCTTAGCTACAGGATGTGGATTACAGCATCCGGGGGACAGTTCCAAAGGACTCCAGCTGGAGAATCTACAAAGCCTTGACTGGTAGGTCTACTCGGGACCCAAGAAGCAGTTTGGAGCCGGGAGTAGAGCCCACACCAGCAAAGTTTAGAAAGTAGATTGCCCAAGGAGGGGTTAAAAAGGGTTTTCCTCTTAAAGAAAAGAAACAGTTCACGAAGCCAGTTGCCTGTCCCTTGTGGACAAGATTAAGAAAGCCACCAGTTGATTCAAAGCCTTGAAGCATTTGTTTAATTTGTTGAAGATCTAAGAAGTATTTGATGTTTGTTGAAGACTTAAGCAATAATAAAGGACTTTGTTAAACCTTTCAAGCTTCTAAAGACTCTGTATAGGAAAATCCTTAGGGCCTCTCACTCGAGGCACCCCGGCTTCCCGCTGGGCACAAAGAGCACGTCCTGTTCAAAAGCCAACTGCTATAGGCCCAGCGCGTGACAGCACACATTGTCTCCTGATGTTTCACCCACATCTATGGCAGGCATCCTCAAAGGTCATAACTCACAACATCTGAGGATACCTGCAATAGAAGTGGGCGCCACGTCAGGAGAGAATGCTTCTGGAACATGGCCATACAGCCCAGAAAACTCACAGCATCCCCATATTGGCTTCCTAACCCTGCCTACATCAGTCAGTCATTTAGTATGGAGAGCACAGGAGAGTACAGTCAGCCCTCCATATTAACTTGGAATTAAAAGCAGAGAGCCCTGGCAAAAAGGGAAAAGGATTTTTTTAAAACACTTTTTTAAACCTGGGAGAACATCTCTCTATCTCTCTACAAATCTAGAGTCCCCCCAGTGCAGCTTTTTTGTTAAATTCTGCCAGAAGTTAGCCATAGAAATAAATAATAATCCATATAAATAAAAATGCAATGTTCGTTTGTGGGATTAACATAACTTAAAAACCACTGGACGAATTGACACCAAATTTGGACACAAGACACCTATCAGGCCAATGAGTGACCATCACTCATAAAAACACTGAAAAATACAGCAGAAAAGACCAAAAAAAATACATTACAACGCATGTGCAAAACCACATATATACACAAACACACAGATATACACATATTCACAAATATATGCACATACATATATGCATATATACACACATAAAACACACAGACACAGACTGGGCCACAGCAACGCATGCCAGGGAACAGCTAATAATAATAATAATAATAATAATAATAATAATAATAATAATAATAAACATTATTTCTATCCCACCCTATCTCTCCAGTGGTGACTCAGGGCAGTTCACAACATAGAGTGGCAAACATTCAATGCCATAAAGTGTGACCAAAAAAGCAAATAAACAAACCATAAATTAAATAATATTGTGTTAGACATCAGCATCAGACAATAGTGGTACAATACAACAAATTAGGCATCACATAACTGAAAATTCATGTTGTGATAAATAAACATTTAAAACGAAATATAAAATTTGAGACTAATAACAGTTAAACATTAAAATTTAAAAGCCAGAGTAACAAGCCATTTCCATATTCCTTATGCCATATGGAGGACCTGCAAATGCCTAG